CTGGGGCACAGTGAAGGTACCTCAGGGGCCTTTTGCTGGCCAGGCTTCTGTAAGCACTGCCAGGTGAAGAAAGGACTCTACAGCTAAAATATTTAAACCACTGAATAGCCTGAATGTTGCTCCCCAGAGACTTATTTAAGAAAATATTCTCCCAGATTTGTTCATATGCTACCATTTAGTTCAACCAGGTTACATTTATAGGTAAATTTTATGGGGACTTTTTCCATGTGAAGTGACACATTTATCCCTCTGTAGGGATGGCCCATGGGAAGCAGTTGCAATTCAAATTCCTGTCACTCTGCTGCTGGGCCTGGTGCTCAGGTCTACAGAGAAAAATATTCTGCTATGTAGAATAAATACAGTTTCAATATTCATCAAAATGGAATGCTATAGTGTATGCCTTATCAATGCTATGTAAAAAGATAATATGAACTTATTAAGGAATCAAATAAGAATCGGGAAGAAAAACTTCACTGCATAGAGCTGAATACTAAGGGATAGTTTCCTTGAGTTTACAATTTCCTTTTTTTTATTAAAAAAATAAGAATTTATTTGAGAGAAGGAGAAGGAGAGAGCACAGGGGCAGGGGGGGTAAGGGCAGAGGGAAAGGGAGAAGCAGGCTCCCCACTGAGGAGGGACATCAATGCAGGACTTGATCCCAGGACCCTGGGACCATGAGCTGAGCCGAAGGCAGACGTTTAACTGACTGAGCCACCCAGGCACCCCGAGTTTACAATTTCTGATTGCATGAATATTTTTACATAACCAATTCTGTAAGCACAATTACAGCTAAAATTTTTTTTTTTACTTAAGAGTATCATACTTTTCTACATTTCCAAAGAAAGACCTTATTTTTTTTAAAAGATTTTTATTTATTTAATTGACAGAGAGAGACACAGCGAGAGAGGGAACACAAGCAGGGGGAGTGGGAGAGGGAGAAGCAGGCTTCCCGCTGAGCAGGGAGCCCATTGCGGGGCTCGATCCCAGGACCCTGGGATCATGACCCGAGCCGAAGGCAGGCGCTTAATGACTGAGCCACCCAGGCACCACCAAAGAAAGACTTTAAAATGTTAATATTAATGGTTGCACAAAATATCCTTGTAAAGATTGTACTAAAGCATTCTCTGGATTGGAGGATGGTAATTAGGATGGGAGTCCCAAAGAGATGGGTTCCTCCATGTGTTGAGGAGCCAAGGCTGGAGTTACTGGATAATGAAGAGAAAAGCAAGGGATCACAGGTACCAAAGCGTCCTTTCTCTTCAGATGGCCAGATATGACATGGTGGTTCAGGGTGGACAAAGTCGGCAGTACCTGGAGGCGGCAAATATTAAAGGGGACTACAAATGTCACTGTCATCTGGTGCGTAGTTTCTCTCTCCATCAGGCTACAAGGGACAGAACAGGAGGACAGTTCTCTGGAAAGGAAGAGGAAGCTAACTAGGCTTAAGCCCTTGCTCCCCTATAAGGAAGGTATTCAGCACTGTACTTAGCATATAGTCTATCTTGCTTAACATCATCACAGCCGGAGTGCTAAACAGTGAACTTTATTGTGGTTCTCAGCTCTATTTGCTTCCTATTTTGGTCCTTAGTTACTCAAATTCTTAGAGGCTTATTCCGGGACCTTCGAGGTCAGAAGTCCTTCCATCTTCTGAGTGGGGCTCTTCTCTTTCTAGAAGGATCTTGGTCTTAACTGCTAATCACTACCCCCGGGCTTTCTTAGCAACACCTACTCACTCCTGAGTGGCTGACCTCTTGTCTAGTTAGGACTGGGAATCCTCCTCCCAGTCAACATCTCCACCAGAATCCTTTCTTTCCTCCCCTTCTTCTTTCCTGGTCTGAAATAGGAGTGAATTCCTGGCCAGAGTTGGAAAGTGAGGAGACTGAGGGAGGCCAGGGAACGGGTAGTCTTGCCCACCAGATTAAGTGAGAGTTTGTGTTCTCTTAGGGTTACCCTGTCCCGTTCTCCCTAAGGCAGAGCTGCCTGGCAACAGTTTACATCACACCACTTGCTCCTGTCCTGGCTCCCAGTGCCAGCCCAGAATAGGACCTGGGAAGTAGGCTGGCTCCTCTGCCCCTCATGGACGCTTCTGCTCTTTACGGCTGAGCAAAAACACCCACGAGGGTCGTGATGCATGCCCGCCTCTGCACAGGCTGTGCCCTAAGCAGGGTGTGCCCATAGGAAATGCACGTCTCTAATCAGTGGGAAGGCAGAGTGTGTGCTTCCTCGGCCCCATATAGACTCCTTGCTAAGAAAAGTGCATGCACTTTCAGAGGATGCATTAGCATTAGGGGAAAAGTCTGCTTTTTCTTTAAAATTTCCTGGATGAAATCTGTGACCAATTTTAAGAAGGTTATGCTTTAGAGCACTATGTAGGAGGAACACGCACACATAGCAACATTCACTCATGGCGCCCACACAATACTTCCAATTCCAATTTCTCTCCCAAGACGGCAACAATTTTCAGACATTTAAAACACTTATATTTTATACTATGCTTACTACCACCGACTAAAGGTGTAATCAACTGTCAGTAGAAATAGCTAGAGGTAGATAAATTCAATGTTAACCCTGATTTTACAAATCTATATCATGACTAAAGACAACAGATTAGTGAGTATTAGTGAGTATACACAAGAGTATATAACAATTAAGAAATTGAAGAACTATGCTTTTATTCCTGCTTCCATATGCCAAAGTCTTCGCTTAATGCTAACGTCAATTCCAGAGTAAGAGAAAGCAGATTTTTTGCATCTCCCAAGCATACTGCAATTCCACTTTTTGCCATTATCTGTGTTCATGTCTCCAAGGGAAAACAGATTTATTATAAAGTCATTTTGGTGTTTAAGAGAGCAAAGTACGATGGATGCTGTCCAAGGAAGCATGTATCAATTTCCACTGTGCAGCAATGAGTCATCATACATAGAGTTCAAGTGCAGCAACTCAGAGCCCTCATGAACTGAGTGCTGCAAAGGCACCCAGGATGAGAGAACCATCAAAAGAGTTCACTCTCTAAAGTGTCCAAATGCTTCCCTGCCTCCTTCAACAAAGTAGAACAAATATGACTTAATCTTTCCTCAGTGGGACAATGGATTTGAAGCTAAGAGGACTGGCCCTGACTCACTGAGTCAGTATACACTGGGAGAGTGATTTGAGTCATTCCCTGCACCTTCCTGGGCTAGTCATCTTCATGATGGGATCACTGCATTCTTCAGAGCTGTCTAGAAGATTAGGTCAAACAGCACACACAAAGTACCTAGGGCAGTGCCCCTGCTCTTGCAGAAGATGCTCCATGAAATGTCAGCCTACTTCCTGTCCCTCCAGACACAATCTGAACAGATGAGTTACTGCTGAATGCCACAGGCTTGTTGCTGCTCTGTGGGTATACACATCAGGAATGGGTCACTGGACAGAATAAATACAACTCCGGCTCAGGCCCTAGGACTTGCTTTTTTTCTTTTCTTTTTTTTTTTTTTTTAAGCATTCCTGGCTTTCTTTTTAACTCATAAAAGTGAAATATGAGCATATGACTCCTAAGCAATGAGATATGGCTGCCCCTCTGCAAACTTCTCAAGCAGTTTTCTTACCCTTCAAAAAGTCCCCTTCAGTCCATGTTTCCTAAGTCCTTTGTGCCACAGGGATTACATATATATAATTGTGAAAGAAACCACAGGGCAATCAAGGCAAACAATAAGATAGTCATTTATATCTGCATGTGAATTTTACCTCAGCCTCTATAGCATTTTTGCACCCTTCTGTTTACTAATTATTTAAATGTTTTGCAGCTTATAACTTCTGAGCTGAAACCCTTTCATTGTTAATGCAGCTAAATACAAAAGCTACTCATGTGGGTAGTTTTTTCAAAAAAACACAACATTTACTATTTCATTCCCATTGCACACCAGCAAACTATGAGCTATGTGTTATCAATAGTACTTTAGAGGTGGGCAAATGCAGGTGTGACCATATTTCAGACATGAAGAGAGAAATCTACACAAGACAGAATTTAGAGTTGGTATCTGTCTTTACATCTATAAACCAAAAAGCAGCCAACACATAATTTACCTCACTAGGAATCAGGTTTGGCAACTCTGAACAATAACTGTCCACCTGAATTTTCTAAGGCATGAAATCTGGCTGGGCTGACCCTGAATTTGTGATCCATTTCCTTTGTATTTCCCTTTGCACCTGCTACTTGATGGATGTTTTTTTCCTTTCTATCCATTATTTTCATTTCAGCTGCCGAGATGCCTCAATTACTCTATGAAACATATCTCAAACTCTACTAGCTCTAGAAAAGAAAATGGACGATATCATATAGTTTAAAAAGCCCCTAAAGGGGAAATTTAGTAGAAAAGTGAGCTCCCAACATTCTTCAAGACCCAAATACCACCTTCTCTGTGAAAGTTTGTACTGATGGCCCCAGCTGACCATATCCTCCTTTTTGTCTCCACTGTATCTTGTATTCTGCTTCTATTATATTTCCCAACACAATGAGGATGTGTGATTATGTCTATGCCTCTTTTCCCCACCGGGATGTGGGCCCGCCAAGAGAAGAGGCCCTTATTTTAGCATAGAAGACACTAAACCTAAGTTGAATAAAATGGAATTAAAAAACAAAAGTTTATAAAAACTTCTTGGAGCTTTACATTTTTTTTTAAGCCAATAAAGCCATGATTAAGTAATGGAGCTTCAGTAATAACAATTCAAGTTATTTTGCAAACTCTTTCCCATAAGATGGTTCTTTAGGCTGTTTTAAAATTATACCAGCAAGCCACTGAGCTCAGATTAAAATATTATGTTCCCTGGGTCATATTTAAACTCAAATTGTTTTACTTACCTTTTCATCATTTTAGTTATAAAATTAAGGAGATGTGAACTTTTTTTTAAAACATTAAAATGAATAACAAGAAAAATACCTAAATCTCATGCCTCAAGGATAATCCCCTTTGGCTAGCTGCAGTTAAAACGTTAAGCCTCTCAGATGACATGTGGTACCATACCTGGCCCGTGTATGCAAACTCCAGGGCCTGCTTCAAGCCAAGGCTGGTCACACCGTGTAAATTCACCTCGTCTGCTCCACTTTCCACCATACAAAGACTGAACATTGCCTGAGGTGGGAGAGAACGAGAGAGATGGGGAGTTACACAACTTAAAAAGCAAGAGAACAGAGGAGGAGCAAGATGGCGGAGGAGTAGGAGACCTAAATTTTATCGGGTCCCAGGAATTCAGCTAGATAGGTATCAAACCATTCTGAACACCTATAAACTCAATAGGAGATTGAAGAAAAGAATAGCAGCAACCCTGAACAGAAAAGCGACCACTTTCTGGAAGGTAGGATGTGCGGAGAAGTGAATCCGAGGTGATATTCGGGAAGATAGACTGTGGGGCGGGGGAGCCTCCATCAGCCGCTACCGGCAAGTGATAGAGCCACGGAGCACAAAATCAGAACTTTTAGAAGTCTACTCCGCTGAGGGACGTCGCTCCAGTGGCTAAGTGGGGGGTGGGACCCTCGCTGGGACAGTGTGGTCTCAGGACCCTCGGGGTCACAGAAAGACCGGGGGTGACTGAGTGCAGCAGAGCTCCCAGGTATCAGAGCAGGGAAGCCGGCTGCAAAGACCGAGCAGAGAAGTGGGCTCTCAGCTCGGGGTTGCCATAAACCATGATCAGCGGCACAATCGGGCCACTGCTCTTCCAGCAGGGACCCAACAAGCAGCAGATACGGGGAGATTCCCCTTCCTCCCCTGGGGAGGAGCAGTGTGGAGCACACTGCAGGAATCTGCTGGGTTTGGAGACTCCACACGGGGTCGTATGCCAGAGATAGAAACCCTGGCAAACGGGATTGTGTGCCAGAGATAGAAACGCTCGGTCACAGGCTGGGTGAGCACAGAGTACGGCCGGAGACCAAGGAGAGGGGAGTGATTGACTGCTTTCCTCTGGGGGCTCACTGAGGAGTGGGGCCCCGAGTTCTCGGCTCCGCTGGGGCAGAGACTGGGAGGCTGCCATTTTCACTCTCATCCTCCAAAGCTGTACGAAAAGCTTGCAGGGAACAAAAGCTCCCAGGAGGAAACCGGAGCAGGTTACTTAGCCCGGCCCCGGCAAGGGCGGGGCAATTCCATCAATGGCAGAGACATTTGAGAACCACTGCAACAGGCCCCTCCCCCAGAAGATCAGCAAGAACAGCCAGCCAAGACCAAGTTTACCAATCAATGAGAACGGGAGAATGCCAGCACTAGGGGAATACAGCACATAGAATTCATGGCTTCTTTCCCCCATGATTCTTTACTCTTTCAAAGTTAATTTTTTAAATGTTCTTTATTTTTTTCTTTTTCTATTTTTATTTGAATTTTTCTTTTTCCCTTTTTCAACCAACATCTTATCAATTCCTTTTTTTAAAATCTTTTTTATTTTTCATTTTTAGAGTCATATTCTACCCTTTCATTGTAGTTAACCTTATTCTTTGTGTGTGTGTGTGTGTGTATATATATGTTGTTCTCTCTTTAAAACTGTCAGATACAGTTTCTTCTAACAGACCAAAAATATACCCTAAATCTCTAGTGTATGGCTTTTCTCTAGTCTCCTGGCTGATAACATTCTCTCTCTTTTTTTTTTTTTAATTTCTCTTCTTTCTGTTTTCAACTAACTTCTTATCTTATCAATTCCTTTTATAAAATCTTTTATAATTTTCACCTTTACAGTCATATTCCATCCCTTCATCGTATTTAGCCTTATTTTTGTACATATATAAGTTTTTCTTTCTTCAAAATTTTGGGAGGCAGTTTCTTCTAACAGACCAAACTACACCCAAAATCTAGTGTGTGGCACTGATCTATTCACCAGCCTGATCATATTTGATCATATTCTTTTTTTTCTTTCTTTCTTTCCCTTTCTTTTCCCCTGGGTTTCGGGTCTCTTCTGATTTGTTTAGTGTATATTTTTCTGGGGTCGTTTTTACCCTGTTAGCATTTTGTTCTCTCATTCATCTATTCTCCTCTGGACAAAATGACAAGACAAAAAAACTCACCTCAAAAAAAAGAACAAGAGGAGTAACGACTGCCAGGGACCTAATCAATACAGACATTAGTAAGATGTCAGAACTAGAGTTCAGAATGACGATTTTAAAAATACTAGCTGGACTTGAAAAAAGCATGGAAGATACTAGAGAATCCCTTTCTGGAGAAATAAAAACTAAAATCTAACCAAGTAGAAATCAAAAAGGCTATTAATGAGGTGCAATAAAAAATGGAGGCTTTAACTTCTAGGATAAATAAGGCAGAAGAGAAAATTAGTGATATAGAAGACCAAATGATTGAGAATAAAGAAGCTGAGAAAAAGATAAACAACTACTGGATCACGAGGGCAGAATTTGAGAGATAAGTGATACCATAAGACAAAACAATATTAGAATAATTGGGATCCCAGAAGAAGAAGAAAGAAAGAGAGGGGCAGAAGGTATATTGGAGCAAATTATAGCAGAAAACTTCCCTAATTTGGGGAAGGAAACAGGCATCAAAATCCAGGAGAGGCAGAGAACCCCCCTCAAAATCAATAAAAATAGGTCAACACTCCAACATCTAATAGTAAAACTTACAAGTCGCAGAGACAAAAAGAAAATCCTGAAAGCCGCTCAGGATAAGAGGTCTGTGTAACCTACAATGGTAGAAACATTAGATTGGCAGCAGACCTATCCACAGAGACCTGGCAGGCCAGAAAGGACTGGCATGATATATTCAGAGCACTAAGCGAGAAAAACATGCAGCCAAGAGTACTATATCCAGCTAGGCTGTCACTGAAAATAGAAGGAGAGATAAAAACCTTCCAGGACAAACAAAAACTAAAGGAATTTGCAAACACCAAACCAGCCATACAAGAAATATTGAAAGGGGTCCTCTAAGCAAAGAGAGAACCTAAAAGTAACATAGACCAGAAAGGAATAGAGACAATATACAGTAACAGTCACCTTACAGGCAATACAATGGCACTAAACTCATATTTTTCAATAGCTACCCTGAATGTAAATGGGCTAAATGCCCCAATCAAAAGACACAGGGTATCAGATTGGATAAAAAAACAAGACCCATCGATATGCTACCTGCAAGAACTCATTTTAGACCCAACGACACCTCCAGATTGAAAGTAAGGGGGTGGAAAACCATTTATCATGTAATGGACAGCAAAAGAAAGCTGGGGTGGCAATCCCTATATCAGACAAATTAGATTTTAAACCAAAGACTATAAAATAGATGAGGAAGGACACTATATCCTCCTTAAAGGGTCTATCCAACAAGAAGATCTAACAATTTTAAATATCTATGACCCTAACATGGGAGCAGCCAATTATATAAGCCAATTAATAACAAAATCAAAGCAACACATTGACAACAATACAATAATAGTAGGGGACTTTAACACCCCCCTCACTGAAATGGACAGATCATCTAAGCAAAAGATCAACAAGGAAATAAAGGCTTTAAATGACACACTGGACCAAATGGACTTCACAGATATATTCAGAACATTCCATCCCAAAGCAACAGAATACACATTCTTCTCTAGTGCCCATGGAACAGTCTCCAGAATAAATCACATCCTAGGTCACAAATCAGGTCTCAACCGGTATCAAAAGACTGGGATCATTCGCTGTATATTTTTGGACCACAGTGCTTTGAAACTAGAACTCAACCACAAGAGGAATGTCAGAAAGAACTCAAATACATGAAGGCTAAAAAGCATCCTACTAAAGAATGAATGGGTCAACCAGGAAATCAAAGACGAATTAAAAAAATTCATGGGAACAAATGAAAATGAAAACACAACTGTTCAAAATCTTTGGGATGCAGCAAAGGCCGTCCTAAGAGGAAAGTATATAGCAATACAAGCCTTTCTCAAGAAACAAGAAAAGTCTCAAATACACAACCTAAACCTACACCTAAAGGAGCTGGAGAAAGAACAGCAAATAAAGCCTAAACCCAGCAGGAGAAGAGAAATAATAAAGATCAGAGCAGAAATCAATGAAATAGAAACCAAAAGAACAGTAGAACAGATCAACGAAACTAGGAGCTGGTTCTTTGAAAGAATAAGATTGATAAACCCCTGGCCAGACTTATCAAAAAGAAAAGTGAAACAACCCAAATAAATAAAATCATGGATGAAAGAGGAGAGATCACAACCAACACCAAAGAAATACAAACAATTATAAGAACATATTATGAGCAACTATATGCCAGCAAATTAGATAATCTGGAAGAAATGGATGCATTCCTAGAGATGTATCAACTACCAACACTGAACCAGGAAGAAAAAGAAAACCTGAACAGACCTATAACCCCTAAGGAAATTGAACCAGTCATCAAAAATCTCCCAACAAACAAAAGCCCAGGGCCAGATGGCTTCCCAGGGGAATTCTACCAAACATTTAAAGAAGAATTAATACCTTTTGTTCTGAAATTGTTCCTTTTCAAAAAATAGAAATGGAAGGAAAACTTCCAAACTCATTTTATGAGGCCAGCATTACCTTGATCCCAAAACCAGACAAAGACCCCATCAAAAAGAATTATAGACCAATATCCTTGATGAACATGGATGCAAAAATTCTCACCAAAATACTAGTCAATAGGATCCAACAGTACATTAAAAGGATTATTCACCACGACCAAGTGGGATTTATTCCTGGGCTGCAAGGTTGGTTCAACATCCACAAATCAATCAAGGTGATACAATACATTAATAAAAGAAAGAACAAGAACCATATGATCCTCTCAATAGATGCAGAAAAAGCATTTGACAAAGTACAGCATCCTTTCTTGATTAAAACTCTTCAGAGTGTATGGATAGAGGGTACATACCTCAATATCATAAAAGCCATCTATGACAAACTCACAGTGAATATCATTCTCAATAGGGAAAAATTAAGAGCTTTTCCCCTAAGGTCAGGAACACAGCAGGGATGTCCACTATCACCACTGCTATTCAACATAGTACTAGAAGTCCTAGCCACAGCAATAAGACAAAAAGAAATAAAAGGCATCCGAATCAGCAATGAAGAAGTCAACTCTCATTCTTTGCAGATGATATGATATTTTATGTGGAAAACCCCAAAGACTCCACCCCA